CACACACACACACACACACACACATACACACATATATAAATAAATAAAATTTTAAAAAAAATTAAAAAAATGTTATTTTTTTCATATTGCTGTTTTACATACAAAATTGTTTTGTTTTTTTTTAATCCTGCCTCAGGTTTATTTGTACAAAGACCACAGGAGGATACCAGCCCCCCACAGATGGCACCCAAGGGGTCACGCCAGTCCTTCTGTTTTTACATCAGCAGATAAGATGCTGTTACTGTGGAGCCTTCATGGGGGCCTGGGCTGGAGCAGAAGCTGGAGCCTGGGCCTTGGCTGGAGCCTGGGCCTTTGGCCGGCAAGGCCTGCGACCCTTGGCAATGTGGACATAGATATGCTTCCCACACTTGGGGTGGGCAATATAGGCAAGCGGAGTGAGCCTGCGGTTTACTCCCTTTGGAATGATCTTGGGCTTGACCTCCTTGGGCTTGATGAGGGCCTTGATAGCCTCGGCGCGTGCACTCATGGCCTTGGCATTGTTTGCTTGTATCTTCTTGAAGCCCTGCTTGTTGTGCTTCTCGGCAAAATGCATGTTCCTAAGGAACTTGGGATCTACCCCTTCAGAGATTCGTATCTTTGTGACCGAGGTTTCTTGGTGCCATTTCTGTGTTATTTTCGGGACTGGTTGTGGGTGGTGTAGTTCTTGGACTTGGCCATAACTGCATTGTAAACCGCGGCTGCCAAGCGCCTGGAATTGGAAGGTGAAAAGAAAGCCTGCCGGTTTTTTTTTTTTTAAAGAGAGCTGAAACTATTCCTTTTTTTTTTTTTTCCCAGAACCAGGGATTGAAGACCCTTGCACTTGCCAGGGAAGCACTTATTCTACTGAGCCATCTCCCTGGCCCCATCTTTTCTTTTTTCTTTCTTTCTGATTTTAAGGGGAGGTTTATTTATTTATTTATTTTTTAGGGGAGCTTTATTTTTTGTTTTTGGTGCCGAGGACCAAACCCAGGGCTTCCAGTTTGCTAGGCAAACATTCTACCGCTGAGACAAATCCCCAGCCTTTCTGATTTTAATTCTTTGGTGTTCTGGAGATTTGACAGTTAACCAGGATTTCATTTTATTTTTCAATGTCCACTAAGCTAAACTCTGGGTGTTAAATTCCAATTATAGGATAAGAAAAAAGGAAGTTAAAAGTATAAAGAAAGACAAAGTGACGAAGAGAGGTTTTAAAAGTCAAACCATGTGTGTTAAAGACGTAGATGAAATTCCACTTTCTCCACCCGTGGGGGCGGGGGAATGGCCTGCCATCGGGGAACACGTGGTGCCGGCTGGCGTCAGTGCCCAGATCACCGTCCTCCGCCCAGGCTGCAGTCCAATTGTACACGTACAGGTCAGGAGACAAACTGGAGTCTAAACAGAGGAAGACACAAGGTACCGTCGTCACTTGGGCTCCCAATGCCGAAGCTTGTCGCTGAATGCAACAGGTCTTACACTTCCCATAACTAGCGTAGAAGTTGCTACAGAGCTAAAAACTAACGTTCACAATAGCCCCAGTGACATGCTTAGGGCTTGTACGCTTTTTGGCATATTATGCTGCACTTCAGTATGAGCATTATATGAAGAGATTTTTAGGAATGTTTCATCTGCAGCTGTCACTTAATATGGTGTAGGGCTTTCTCCCTTTCTCATTTGACACCATAACTTTATTCCCGAAGACTTCAGTACAAGAAAGCCCCAGGAATAAAGGGCACTGCACGTAACCACGTAGCAGCAGCACCATAACCATGTACCCAGCACCGTGTGTCTCTTCAGATTTTTTTTTTTTGGTGGTACCAGGAATCAAACTCAGGACCTTGCACTTGCCAGGCAAGCACTTATTTCTCTGAGCTAACTCCCCAGCCCCTCTCTTCAGATTAATCAGAGAAACTCAATCTCTTTCTCCTTCCCTCCATATATAGATCAATATAGGTTTATATGATGGAGAAATAGCAGGTTAGGGACACAAGCAAATATAGCAAAGTGTTAAAATTGTTGAATGTAGGTGGAGAATATTTGTGTGTGCAGTTCACCCTGCTTTCAAGTTTTCCCTATGTATGGTACTTTCCACTTTAAAAAAGCCACTATCAAGATAACTTCATCTAAAGTCCTCTACCCTTTTATTGATTTATTTTTTAAGTACATATGATGCTAAAGCAAATAAAACCTTTCATTTATTTTTTATGTCGCTGTATTTCTTCCTTTGGTGTTACAGATTGAGCCTAGGGCCTTTACACTAAGTACACTTTCATCCCCTCTCTTCTTTTTATTTTGTCTTAACATTTTATTTCATTATTATTATTATTATTATTAT